GGACTGGTCCCGCTGGCGCAGGGTAGCAGGAAGCTCTCCACACACTCACCGGACCTGGGCTAGGACTGGGTCTGAGAGCTCTTCTATTTAAATCAATGGAGTTCTAAACTATTTTTTAAAAAGCAATAATGTGATTATCCAGTTGGCTTTGACTTTAACCCTTATACAAAGAGGCAGACTTTGTTTGAACTCTGTTGTGTGGTGGATGAAAAGCTCTTAATCACTTTGGCACTTATTTATTGTGCTCTGCTCAAGTCAGAAGGCCTCTCATGTTGTATGAATAGCTGAATTAGGTTATCCCTGACCAGCTGATGGCTACCCCTCTTCTCAAAAGTATTTTGACAAGCTCAAACTTGATTGCATGATTATGTGTGTTAGTGGAAGGAATCGATCTTGTGTGGACTGGACTTATCTTGAATTTATAATGTGCTCTCCTTTGTATATTAAAATATTTCCATTTGTTATTTCAAAAAAAAGTTGCTTCAAATGAAATAGGAGTGCTGCCCTTGGGAAAATCACCCTCTTGATGCCCCCCACCACTCTACATCTGTTTCAACTCTACATGGACCTTCACAGGAAGAGCTGGTGGCTAATGCTATGGAAAGCTTAAATATAGTTTGCTCCCAACACTACTTTATATATTCTTTTACATCTAGACTAAAAGTAATTGAATACTTTGTTCAAAACTCTATTAGTCCGGCTTCTATGATAATATTGTGTGCATTTTTGTATAGAGTATATTCACATTCCCTTGATATTAGTATCAAAACTTTTTTGCACAAAACTAATGCAAGAGTAATGATAAAAAATTATCTTCCTCAGAGATTGTTCGTAAAATCCTTTTGACTGCAGAGGCAATTTCTGTTCTTCTTTCTTAAGATGCATTGAGCACAGCAGCGTTATTGAGTGTGCATGAGAAGATGGAGGAGATAATTTTACTCTATGCAAACATCCATGCTCAGCTTTGTCCTTTTAAACTCATCCACACCCCACAAACTGTAATTATCTTGTCAGATTTCTTTTTTCTTATATGGATTTCTATTGAGCATCACAAATATTCAAAATAACAATAGCAGTACCAAAGAGGAACCAGTGCATTAAAAAATACTGTACAGGTGATTGTCTTCCAATAAAACAACAGGTAATTAATCCTAGAATTTTATTTCTGATAAGTAATCTATATTTTCTGGCTTAGCTTTATTGATTCATAAGTATTCATAAAGTGTATTTCACTGCTAAGGTATTCTTTATATCGATACTTCGAAATTTAAAAGTTATTCCTTGTAAGAAATGGTTCTTATTACTGTCCATCAATTGCCTCATCCTTCCAAACCCAGAAAATTACTATTCTACCTTTTCTCTTGATAAATCTTCCTCTTTAAAAAAAGACTGTCCTATTAATGAAACACATGAATTTTTAGCAAAACAATAAATAAACTTAGCAAAACCATTTAACAACCATAAGCAACCATAAAACAAATTTAGCAACCATAAGCTTAACATGGTGTTAAATTAATTTTCCTAAAATAATTTTTTAAAGATAACTTTATGTATGGAATTGGTATATCTTCTTCTTTTATATAAATAACAATGACTCTTCACACACACAAAGTCATGTATAAATTCTGTAAAGATAAAAGATGATGTTTCCAAAGGAATTTCAAAGTTTTAGTAGCAATATTGGCTTTAAATGAAAATATATACTGCTTACAAATTGCTTGATTATTAAATTAATGAACTTAGAACAGTATATCACGATGTGTCGTTTCTGAGATGGGGGAGTGAGGTTGGACTCAGATCTGCTACAGGCATGGCTTTGGGAACTCCCTGTCACCTTGCCCATGGAAACTCTGCTAAGGACCTTCTGCCCTATGCCTGCTCCTTAGCTAATCTCCTCTTTGCTTTCTCCTTCCCCTCCTTTCTTGGAGGCCTTCCAGATTCTCCTGGGTGCTTCTTACCATCTAAAGAGCTATCATGTACCATTCACACTTGGATTATATAAATACTGGCCTTTGCTTTCTTTGAAATTGGTGTGAATTAGCAGCATTTTTTTAATCCCATAAAAATGCCCTTGCTTCTTTTTCTACCTATTGTGGGTTTGTAAAATAAGGTTTGCTAACTAAACAAAACATATTATTATGTGTAGAAGAGTGTGTTAGCTACCTAAAGTAACAAATTGTTTTCATTAGCATGAAAGCATTGGTTGTACAGAGAGTAGCAATTCAAAGAATTGTTCCTCTGTTTCAACGGGTTCCTGGAAGTCTTCTATATGATGGTTTATTGGGTTAGTTATGATATAATAAGAAACAAATGAAATGTTTTATAATAATATTATCTAATTTGAACCATTAAGTAATTCTGAGTGTTCCCTTTCTAATTAGGCAGAAAATGATTTAGTAATATGTTGTAATTTAAAGTTACAAGCTTATTTTAATTTTCACATATAACATTTAAGAGAAAGTAAGCTAACTCCTTCTGAAAATAGATCAGGGAAGAGTCATTAAGAACACAAACGTGCTGTAATCTTTGGCTTGATATTTTCCACTTTCTCATTTTCTTATGTTCTTTCCCAGACATCAGAGTGTCTAGGCATGGAAATAGCTGTAAAAAGAACATAAAGAATAGAGTTGACATAACACAGATAATGTATAGTTTCACTCGACTCTAGGAGGGGAAAAAAACCTCTTAAAATAGATTCTCAGCTGAATACATTCAGCCCTGAAATTGTCCACATATGAATAGAGAATTGACTTTTGAATTAGATCCACAAGAAAAAATAGAAAAATACTAAAAGAGATAGAAGTCATGTTCAGCCTGGGATTTATAGAAAATAAATTAAAATCTAAGGAACATGCACAAGCAAAGACAAGTTCTTGATTTTTTTTAACTCACTAGTTATCTCTTCTCTGCTAACATAGTTGACTGTTATTTTGAAATGGCTGTTTCCTACTTTGGAGGATCAGTATACCTTTCTCCTAGGAAGATCATTTAGACAGGAGGACTTTATCCAGTGTTAGGAGTGTGTATGAAAGCTTCTGTGTAAATTAAAGAAGTGTGCGCCTAGTCAGCGTGCTGAGGACTTCCTGCTAGTGCCCCAGGGTCTGCAGGCTGCTTTTGAGATAATTCTCCCCATCAAGTGCCCATATTCAGTTGGACTTTATTTCTTCCGGCTCCTGAGCCTATATTTTATTTCTTATATTTATTATGCAACATTTACAATTTGTTTTCAAAAAGAAAGCTGCAGATATCTCAAAAAAGGAATGATAAAGTAAAAATTGTATCACATAATTACAATCATCAGTAGAGTCCACCTTTCTTTCACACCTCTCAGTTGATTTCCCAAAGTCATAATCATTTCTGTCTTTTGTAAACACCTGTAAGCCTTCGGAGAATGCTTTTCATTTTCTGGTCAACTGTGTTACTCTTACAAACAAATTAGGGTACGATTTTGACGGAAACGAACATTTTCTCCTAAATTATGAAGATGGCAAACTTTGTCTTGGTCTTTAATTAGATGGGAACATTTAGAATGTTAACTTTGGGAAATAAAATCACAAGGCCATTCCTAGAAACCTTTGTTAGTGTAACCATGAGATGCGCATGATAGAATGGAAACTACGACTAGTTTCTTTAGAGACGTGTTATTCAAAGCAAGTAGGTGTCTAAATTTTCAATTGTCAAAGAAATCCAGGTATTCATCAATATTTAGCAGATGCTTAAAATGTCATTTTGGCAGAGAACATTATTTAGGCTGAGGATACGTTTTCTTATATTTTAGACGATTTCTGTAGTGATCACCCTAGTCTCATGTTGGGAGGAATCCAAACATTCTATTCCTCTAAAATCTCCAGTCATCTGATGAGGCTCATAAACTGTTAATAGCCAGTAGGAAAAAAAAACAGTTTTATGACTGAGCAACATTTTAAATCTATGCTAAATATAGAAAATACAATTACTGAGTATCCTTCATGGTATGTCCTGAATTTTACTTAACTTGTCCTTTTTATTTATTTATTTCAAATAGAGTTGTTCTGGAATTCTGCCTCCTTCAATACTGAGGCTTCGTACCTTCACTTTCCGACTTTCCACGGAGAACTCAGCGCAGATGTGTCTTTCTTTTTTAAGACAACAGCTTCATCCGGGGTCTTTTTAGAGAACCTGGGCATTACTGACTTTATACGCATAGAGCTACGCTGTAAGTCTCCTTTCCTGAGAAATTTTTTGCTTCTAACATTAGTAATGCACTCTTTAACCAGATTTGAAAGAAATTATGTTTCTGTGTTATCAGCTAAATCTTTTTAGTGTCTCCCTTTGACAATATTCTACAATATCCTTTATCTCTTCACCAGTCTTTAAGAAAATAATTTGACACTTAGTGCATGATAATTTGGGACAATAATTGGTGTTTTCTACAGACAATTTAAGATGAGTTTCAATTGAATTAATTAACATTGAAAAAAATTCCCAATAACTAAAAATTTATTTGATAGATTCATGGGCTGCTATTGATATCTTAATGTCAAGTGTACATTATAAATATTAAGTACATATTATATGCTTTTTAATTATATAAACATTGATAGGTATAGTAGTATATGCCCATAAAATGCCAGGAGTCAGGGGGCTGAAACAGGACACTTGCTGTGAGTTTGAGGTCATCCTGGGCCGCATACTAAGTTTAAGGTCATCTTGGGCTACATAGTGAGACCCTGTGTTAAAACAAGACAAAATGTGCATCTGTTTGTCTTAGCTATCTATCTTGAGCTTTTATTCATTGAAACAGTTATTTTACATCAAATGCAGATGCTGTTTAGTTTGCAATGCCTGGCAAATAGCTTGACTCTTTACCAATATGAAAAATTAAATCAGAGGATCAATTTCTTAAAATCAGAACATCTTAACAACTATCTCAGCTCCCATCAGAAGACCTGTTTTGGTATGGATGTTACTGTCACATGAATATGAATTACACCTTTGTCTCCGTGGTTGTAGGCAGTGGGGCCATTTCGAATGGTATAGGCTGCTCAGCTGTCTGCCATGAAAAAACTCACTTGCATTATCTCCATGTCTTATTTTTCTAGCTCCAACAATAGTGACCTTTTCATTTGATGTGGGGAATGGGCCTTTTGAAATCTCTGTGCAGTCACCCACCCAATTCAATGACAACCAGTGGCATCACGTTAGGGTTGAAAGGAACATGAAGGAGGCCTCCATTCAAGTTGATCAGCTACCACCCAAGATACAGGCTGCCCCGGCTGATGGCCATGTCCTTTTGCAGCTCAACAGTCAACTCTTTGTGGGTGAGTTCGCTTCATAAGCCATGTGATTGTGTTAGGCAAGTGCAGAGAGAGACCAGAGTGAAATAATACCAACTATAAAGATAATGAGAACAGCAACAGTAGGCTCCAGTAGCAATATGCCATTTATGAGAAATCCATGTTTCAGGTTGGGTTGGATGTTTTAGTTCACCCTCATAATCAATCTGTATAGTAAAGATTATCCTCAGTTTACAAGTGGGATAACAGAGGCTCAGATATCAGCTTGCCTTTAGAAATCCTTCCAGCAAATGGATTCAAACTTGTATGTGACAAATTCCTAAAGCTGCATACTGCATTCTTAATATTACAGCTTTTACACTGTTTATTTCATCAGTGTTTCTGGTATGTTATTAGAAATGTTTATTTGTATTCCCAGGACCAAACAATCCTCCCTGGGATTCAGCCAATGCCACACAGCATGTCCGTTGTCCGCTCCATAAAGAGGATTTTTTTTTTCCATGTTGTTTTGTCCTCCTCATCAAAAACAGGCCATCATAAGGGTTAGGGGAGTCGGGTGTAGAATGTATGACCTGACTGGTTTTACCAATTTCTCTGCTGTTTTCCTTCATTTTGTCTATTTTTCTCCTATGTTCCCATTGTGACTCCATATTGATTCTCTTCATTCCCAGAATCCATTCACTTGGCATTTGTGGACTTGCTCATTGAATTCTTCTGAATGTGTTTGTTTTCTTTTGCATCTTTGCTGATTATTTTATAGAACTTACAGACCATGATATTCAAGGAATTATCCTTTATTTGATCACTGTTCATACTTTTTAATATAAATAAGGGCATGGAAATTCTATAAAGCAAGATAAATTATAAATTATCAGAAATCATATATAAAACAATTTCAAGAGTTTTATTTATATGGAATTCATTAGATCCTCTATTATACATGCTTATGTCTGGTCATCTCTTAATAGCCCTCTGAATTCACAGCAAATGGTGAAGCTTGTTTTTTGTCCAAAAAAATCCAAGACATATGTAGGACTTTGAATGAGATTCTGCACTCATTAGTATTTCACCCAAAATATATGTTATGTGTGACTTAATAAATGCTCTCTGTGACTAAGACACAACCCCCAGGCTTTCTAATTGTGATCTTGAGGTCACTCAGTGACTTATTTAATGATACAGAAATAATAAAGAAGCCTTGGGAAGCAATATAGAACTTTCCTCTTAATGCCATGCTAGAAGCTCAGTCAGGAAATTGACATAGATATTTCTCGAATTCCAAAAGATGAGAGATGGCCACAACAAAAGGTATGGCAATTTAAAATCTGTCAGTTGCTTGGAAATAGCCTTACTATTCTTGGAAATTGAGAGGGCTGAAATTGTCCTCGAATTTTTCAGTGAAATATGCTGCAGTTTGCCTGTAGATGACCTTTCCTCCTTGATATGAATTTCAACTTCCTAGAGATGAAGTCACTATATATTGTGTTGGATAGGAATCCTGGCCTTAATTTGATTTCAGGTGGCGATAATGAAGTACCAGTATGACATCAGAAACTGCTTTAGAACTGGCATGAGGATTTCTTTTGCCATCAATCCTATGCTGTAATTTGAATATGGATCAAAGAGGTTTCATCTTTATTGAGGCAATTAGTCAGGCCTCTGACATCTCCATATGGGTCCAGCGTTAAGAGTGGCTGTGTCGCTTGAAAGTTTTAAAACCCAAAATCTTGATTATGGTTAAGTCCAAGTCAGATAGCATTAAAAAGAAAGGGCAGAAAAAATATCTCTGATAAAAAGTGACATCTATTAACAGAGATCTGTGTGTAGTTTCTTCCTTCCTACTTATAGGTGTCTGAATAAGCTGATACGAGGTTGTGTAGTGGTATTAAAAGGAGTCACAAAATAAAAGACTTCAATCTTGAGTAGATTAGCTTGTGGCTGTTAAAAGTCCCCCTCGGAGACTTGTTTTAATTTTTATTTCAACTGCAGTGGATCATTGTCTCTGGAAAGAGCCTCAAACTGATGAAACAAGGCATACAAGAAAAATATTAAATTACCAGTGTACAACATTACTATCCAACAGGTCAGAATTGTTTTTCTTTAAGTGTGTAGATAAAGAGATTTATTTTTTTCCTATAGGCAGGCCCCATGAAAGACAAGTTATAATTAAAAAAGTTACAGTGAATTAGAGCACAGTGGGTGAGAAACTACTAAAAACTCAGCAGTAATTAGAGCTAATTTAATGGAGCACTTACTATGACCAAAATGTTCTGTTCCTTCCTCAAAGAGTCAAGAGACAGCCAAAAGTGACAGATTAATCAAGATTGCATGTATATGTACACACACACACACACACACACACACACACACGTATCTGGATAGTAATGAAAGCTATAAAGTAAAAGGCAGAGTGAGAAGAGATAAGTTGAGGATGGAGCTTCTAGTTTGAACAGAGTGTCTAGAGATGTGCTATGTGGAGACCTTTCTATTTGAGCAGAGGCCAGAGGAAGCAGAGGAGGGAAACCTGAGGACCTAAAGGAGCGAATTTCAGGCACTGGGTTTATGCTCAGTGTTGGGAATACCTTTAGGTATGCGTAGAACAAGACAATAACCAGTGAAGCTGGAGACCACGAATGTGAGAGGAAGCACCGAGAGAAAAGTGGTCATGTTCTTATATTAGTGAGTTTTCCCATCCTGGGATGAAATCCCCAGCACCCAAATCTTACACGACAGGGTTCCTCTGGCTCATGGTGCTGGGGTTTCAGGATATGGTCACCTGGATCCAAAGCAGAAGAGTCCGGATGGAGGGTCTGGTGGGGGACAGTTGTTTACTCTATGGCAATCAGGAAACAGAGAGGGAAGGGAAGAACCAGAGCAGGACAGGGGCCATTTCAGGATGTGTCCCAGGAACCTACCTCTTCCAGCCAGGGGCCACTTCCTCAGAGCACATTCAGCTGTGAACTCACCCCTGCCCTTGCCCAAGCCACTAGTGAACACAGTGGCCCAGTGATCCGGTTTCTTACACAAGGCCTGCTGCAGAATCCATGGGATTTCTATGGGACATTTTTAAAATCAAAACCATAATAGTCATTTTCTGGACCTTCACAAGTCATAAGAAAAAAATTGGGCTTTTGATGCTAAGGAAACAGGAAAGTGACATAAGGTGATCTGGATCTGCAATTTTAGAACTTTTTCTCACTGCAGTAAGGAGGACAGGGGACCGGGCTGGGGTGGGTGTTATCCCAGTAGTTTCCATGATGGAGGTCAGTGATGCGAGGTCAAGTAGAGATGCTGGGACCTCATTTACAGGTAGATGGACACACTTGAGGATGAATCACTTATTGCTCTTGGTGTCTTATCTTTGGGGCAGATGCCTCTTCCTACATTTCTACATTCTCTATCCTACTCCCAGTTCCTAATTTTACCTAACTTTAGCTTTTCTTGTCTGTGCCCTTTATCTATCCTACTGACTCCATCGCCATGTCCCCACCATAAATCAAGCTTTCCCTGTTTCTGTTTTCTGTGCCAGTCCAGTCACATGGCAAAGGACCTGTTCTTCAACCTATTTCTTCACATGCTAATAAATTTATGAGACTGAAGGCTTACTCTGCTCCCAGAGCTGGTGACTGCATGGGTGATATGGGATCTCTGCTTTAATACAATGCAATTGATTTTCTGGTTCAAACTTTAAAGGGTAGTTTAAGTCCCCTTCTTTACAATTTCAGCAGTTTGATTTGTAGTTCATCTTAAAAATAGTTATGACTAATCAGTATTTTCAAGTGTGTATAATGGTTATTTTTTATATTTGGGGAGAGAGGCAAATGAATGAAATGAATGTGATTGTGAAAACTAAGTTTATAGGGCTGGCTAAGTAGCTCAGCAGATTAAAGTGCCAGCAAGCAGGTGCAGGGGACAGGGGTTTCATCCCCAGGCCTGCCATGCCAGCCTTGCCCCCGGGCCATGCTGAGATGGCAATTGAGACTGGGCATGGTGGTACGTGCCTATAATCCCAGCTCTTGGGAGGCTGTAAACAGGTGAATCACTATGAGTCTGATCTAGTAGTGAGACCCTGAACACCCTATAGACCCTTTCCTAAAATACAAAAAAGAAAGAAGAGAAGAAAAGTAAGTTTATAATTTCAGTATCACTTTATTCTAACCTCATATTTTTAAATCTAGGGACCGATGGGAACAATAATGATAGTGCCCTAAACGGCATGGAAGTACAGTCTTTGTTAACATGGGGAAACACTGAAAGGCTACTAAAATAAGGCAGACTGGGTTCTACCCTAGCACTAAAGTGAAAAACCGAATTTCCTTTTAAATACAGAAATGTAATAGAAAACTATTCTTTAAGTCTAAATAAATAAAAGCCTATTCTATAATGTAAAAACATTATGTTAGAAATTTCAGTAGCATATGAACATATGTATGAAATACTACTTTAAATACTCATATTTACAAATAAAATGAAATAGATGTTTGAATGTAGGCTAAATTTTTGATTGTATTCATCTTCTCACTGAGGTCTGTGTTGGCAATATTTATTAGCATTTTATTTTTTAACATGACTCTCTTTGATGATGGCTCAGAAATGGCGACCTCAATGGGGTAACAGGAAAGAATTCAATGCATTTTCTCCATCGCTTGTTTCCCCTTTTCACTGAGTACCAATCATAGCGTGTGTTCCCATCGCAGAGTAAATCTCAAGCAAGATGAATGTCCTACTTTCTGAGGAAAACTAGTAAGATAAATGCAATGTACTTTTAAAAATGTGATCCAGCTGGGCCATAGTTAGGTTTGACAGCTGAAGTAGGAATAAGGAAATGATAAACAGAGTTTCAAGGATAAAAGTAGGGTTAGTCTAGATCTAAGAAGTATGAAACAGAAGGCTTTCTAACAGTGCCCCTCTTTCCAAATATTAGGACAACCATCTTCAACTAATCTAAACAGTGGAGGAGTAGCACAGAGCAAAGCCTTCTTATGAACAAGTGGATAAAGTTAATCTCAGGCAGACTGAAATTA